TCGGGCTGCAACAATTTATGTTTTAATTCATAGTCAATAACACTTATTGAATTTTCAGATTTATTTTTTTGGGCTGGAAGTCGATCCTGACAGCGGCAGTAATTTACATAATCCTTCCGTTGGTAATAATAATGGTTTACTATTTGGTACTTCTTTTCCAAGAAGAGGCCAGACGAAGACTCGCTATAACAATTAATAAAGGTGGGATCATCAAAATATTTTGTAGAACCGGCAATTTCATTTTAATGTGACCAGCTCAGCAGTTTGTTTTTTACATTTTATTGGCCAAATTGTAAGTTTTAAATGCATAATCAGAAATGTTTTTTCAGGTCCTTTGGATAAACCGCAGGTTCATTTCAACTCTAAGACTCAGATTTACCAAATTGTAATTTATATTATATTCATGTTTCCTCATCTAATCCTGGGGATTGTATCCTTTTCTACTAGCTCCAAATTCAAACCTATGTAAGTAATTGCTATTAAGGGTCGTTCACATATTACGTAATCAGCCGAGGGGGGGGGGGGGGGGGGGGGGGGTTCCAAATGCTTACGGTTGATTACGAATAATAACAATTTGACAATATTTTAATTCAAATTCCACTCAATTTCACTCTGATATGTGATAGAATTTAAAAATTGATCGAATATCCGGCCTTTTATAATATAAATAGTAAGTAGTTTAGAAGGTGCTTGGCCGGATATCATAACAATGAGTTCGCAGCTCATCAAATAGTGTTTTCTAGGGAAAAAATTCAAGGGGGGGGGGGGGGGGGGGGGGGGTCAGGCCATGATTACGTAATATTGCTGTCAGGAGGGGGGAGGGGGGGGTTGGGTCTTGATTACGGTTGATTACGGAGGGGGCCGGGGAGGGGGGGTAAAAATTGCTAAAATATTGATTGCGTAATATGTGAACGACCCCTTATATTATTGTTTTATATTTGCGTGATCTATATTTCTGCAAAAAGAACATTAGCGAATTTCAATGATTTCTTTCAGACTTCATGAATCTGAATTTAATTAACACTAACAGCGATTTAAACTAGACATCGCGAGTGGCGAGTGGACTTCGGTTATGTCATAAATTGTTAACAACATGCGTGCTACTGCTATTCCAAAACCTAGGGGGTAGGGTCAAGTAGGTAGGATTCAGGTGCACCCGCAATAACTTAGACGGATCTTCACAGACACAAATTTGAAATAAATTTATATCTAAAATTGATCAGGTATCATGAGTTGGATATGCTGTGGATGGAACTGAGCTCGGTAGCAGTGCCAGTCTCTTACTTGGTCACGTGTCCTACATACTTGAAACACATGGCTCACACATTACCTTGCTTACAGTGGCTACAAAACTGCTTTTTAGGAAGGTGCACTATAGTTTGCCACTATAATAATTGTATTTATCTTATGCTGCAGTGCAATTTTTATTAAAATCACTAGGCCATTCAGAACATTTTTAATTTTGTCTAAAAGTGTTATTACGGCTACGATATTTTTGAATATTTGTAATACAGTTATGAATGAGTATTGAGTTATCATACAAGTTTTGCATATGATTCAAGAGTGTAATGTCAACGATATAATTTCCTCAACTAGGTCGGCTAACAAGACTCCATGCTCCACCTCCACTTCAGACACCTCAGACTCTATCAGATCCCCTGCCCCTATTATCAGGGTACTTTCCCCTGAACTAGTCGAGATGAGCTTATCTGCCTCTTTCCAGTCCCTCTGCCATGCTCTTCCAGGTAAAGTTTAAGAGAAATTAGAAAACCAAGACATTTTCACCAGGTCTATTTTTAACAGCGAACATTATTTGGTTATAATTCGGCCAGACTGAAAACCTTAAGGGGGCCGGGGGGGTCTTCATCAAAATTATCTCGAAATCGACTTTATAGTTGTTTCTGATAGAGGGGAGTGATATCTATCAGATGCTTTTGGTCCCATGGAAAAATATTGTTCCTAGCCGAAATTATCGCCTGTCTAAGGTCAGCGCTTATGTGTAATTGTATTGCGCGAGCGATTTTCAATCGCAAATTCTGAAAATCGAGTCTAAAAATCTATCTTCTCTCACATTTTTTGAGCAATCACCCTGAAACTTTCAGGATATGTTCTAGGGACCATTTAGAAGAGAATGATCATACAAAATTTTGAGATAGGCCTTTGAAAATGTTTTATTCAATTTTGAAAATCTTGGACCTCAAAAAATTGTAAAAAAACGAGGTCCAAGATTTTCAAAATCAAGAATAAAAAATTTTTAAAGGCCTATCTCAAAATTTTGTATGATCATTCTCTTCTAAATGGTCCCTAGAACATATCCTGAAAGTTTCAGGGTGATTGCTCAAAAAATGTGAGAGAAGATAGATTTTTAGACTCGATTTTCAGAATTTGCGATTGAAAATCGCTCGCGCAATACAATTACCCATAAGCGCTGACCTTAGACAGGCGATAATTTCGGCTAGGAACAATATTTTTCCATGGAACCAAAAGCATCTGATAGATATCACTCCCCTCTATCAGAAACAACTATAAAGTCGATTTCGAGATAATTTTGATGAAGACCCCCCCCCCCGGCCCCCTTAATAGAAAAACTAAATTATATCACATCTATTTTTCAGACTCGGATCAAAAAGCGACAAACATTCAAAAGCATCCAAGCCCAAAGGAAACGACAACTTTAGTATCGGAACCAGTTTCTCAGCCCAAATCACGCTGGTATCAAGGACGGACTAAGTCAAGCTCGAAGGCGGGCAGCTCCTTAACAGTAGATCAGTTTTCCTGGGACGAAACTAGCACGTCCACATTTAGTGGTCCAGAATATCTTTGAAAGATTGGGCACTCTCACTCAGCAGTTAAACTTAAACTTGCATTTTCCACTTCTAGTTCTATAACTGAGACAGTATTCGCTTCATGAAGTTTTTTAAATATTGTAAAACTGAAAGGACCCTGAGAGAAAAAAAACTAATTTGGTCACGCGAAAAAAAGAATATATTGTTAATTCTTGGGTCTGATCGGGTTGACTATTATGTATTACTTATACTACTGTACATACTAGCAGGAACTCGTTTATTGTCTTAACCTATAATAAGTATAAGTATAACTATAGAACTATAGGCATAGCTGTGGTGGTGTCAAAAGACCACTTGGGGGCTGGGGCTCCAAATTTGGAGACCTGGAATTATTATATTACCTTATATATACCTGAATTTGAAGTTCTTATATTATTCATTGGCCAATTTTCTATTAAACCCTAACCGTAACGAGAAATTTAACCTACTTCCGTATATGGCCATGTCACGTGATTGAAACAGTTTTTCGTCGATGACTCCAAACTCGTCAGGGAATCATTTCAACCTTATGTCATGTTGGGTGATTCGGAATCAGCGTTGAAAATCATAATATATATAATAAACCAATATATTGGTTTTGCAACTGCCCGAGGCCCATTTATTCAATAGAATAATCTCGAAGTTCCACTTCCAGTATATACTGCTAAATCGCTCTACTAGTAGAACGATTTAGCAAGCTTGTTGCAACAATAGCAAGTAACACTAACAATTCAGATTATATTTCCATTCTGACGTGTCCTATTCGGATCAGATTTCAAATTCGGACATGAATGATGAACGGTCGTTATTTTTTCGGTCACCTGATTCGGGCAAAAGTCGTGTCACTATCTGTGGAAGAATTTCTACCCCTTTACAGAAACCTGACAAACCCACCGTCTACCATGAGCTTTATAAGGGACTGTTAAAAGAGTCTAATTATAGACCTCTAAACCTGATGAGCGGTATAATAGCAACATTATATCCGTGGTATTAGTAAATCAATACACTGGACCTTGGAACAAAGCTGATCACGGATGTGCAGATATTATACTGTAGAGTTCAGAGCCAGAAGATGTTAATATCTGTTGTTTAATTGTTAATGATAAAGCACACTCAAAGGACGACCTAAGAATGGCTAGGTAGAATAAACTTATTATAGTAGTGAGAGTGAATAATGAAACAATAATACCGGTATTAATTAAAGGACTGCCATTTGCATTAGAGTGATTTGTGAGATGATGGTGAATCACTCTACACAGGACTATCATTAATCATGTTTTGAGTGTTCTTTAGATGGCTCTGACTGACAATTCAAAGTCCTTACCCTACCGGCTGCTAAACCCAAACCCAAGCGAGAAATTTGACATACTTCCTTGTATGGTAATGTCACGTGATCAAAATAGTATTTCACCAAGAACTCGTCAGTTAGGAAAGCACTTTCACCCTATGTCATGTGAGGTTATTCGGAATCCCTGTTCAAAAATACGCCGATTTGAACTGTTATCAACTCCTGGGGGCCAGTGTAGGGTGATTTGTCATGTTAGGAACCAAGATAACACCGAACATGCACTAAAATTTAATTAACACAGTAATTCCCACTAGGCAGTGGTCGTCACGTACCATGAGTAGCATGCGCGGCTGTCGCCATGGCGCGCGCATGCTATGCTCATAGGCAATTGGCTTTTGAATAGTTTTAAGACACCGCTCGCCAGGTTTTGAATTTCGGTAGACCCTTCAGACGGGTGTCATAACTTGAATAACTTATATTTGGAAATTAACATGCCGGGCTGGACAAAGCAGAACCTCTTCTTAGTTCTTACCGCATCTATCTTAACTGGGTACCACGATATACCCGGCCTCTACTTTCCCCAAAGCTTTAGTCAATCAGCCCTTGTTGTGCAAGAATATTATTTATCAGAGGCCATATCTCATTCGGTGGGAAATGTAAGTACTTAGTACATGTTATTGAGCCGCATTCCATCGCAATACATAGTATGTGCACAATATAAGTTAAGTGTAACTAAGTTACATTTGACTAAGTTAAATTTAAATGAGTTACGGCAATTCCAGCTGAAGGATGGATGCAAATTGTAATGCCGAATCTTTCTCAAGTTAAAGAACAGCTTAAATTATACGGTTTCGTTTGGTCGATTACGGACAAAAAAGATAATTGAATGCATTGTATAACAAAGAAATTCGAGGTCAACTAACTACAGTAACAATATAGTACAAAATGAAGATATAAGTTGCATAAATTATTATTCATAACTTAACGAAATTATTATAATAACGGAAAAATGCAAAAAGCAATCTAAGAAATTTGGGACCTATAATATTTCTATTGTTAATTGTTATTAAGATTTCTATTGTTCTGGAAAAGGGTGTTTCTACAGTTTGGCTCCGGTGAATTTGATAAGGCCATCAGTGCTCATTGATTTAGGTCGTTCCAGTGGCAGCCCGAGGGCTCGATCCCAAACCTGAAGTTTAAGGTGTTAGCAAGAATTTAGACAATTAAAATGTCAACTCCGATTACAGAACTTCAACTCTGATTACAGAACTTCAACTCTGATTACAGAACTTCAACTCTGATTACAGAACTTCAACTCTGATTACAGAACTGATGACAGTGAGAAATGTTAAAGTTTGATTAGCTGAACACTCACAAGAGATGAAAGTACTCCAAGAGCTCTCGAGACACCAAACATAACAGTGTAGTAGGACATTTCCTTTAGGGCAAAATGCTGAAATAGAGAAAGTAATAATAGGAAAGCTAAAAAAGACTTTAAAAGAATACTTTTCAGTTTTGTGAATTGAAGAAAATTATCGAGGAATTCGATAAACCAACATAAGGTCCTAATATTAAAAAGTACAATAGTCTCTCAAAGACACAGTATCCACACATGTGACCACACATGTGACCACACATGTGGCCATATTACTAATTAATGAATAAGTAATATTAACTAATTTTAATGTAAACTAAACGACAGTTACCTGCAACAGGACACCACTGTGAGCATCTACATTGGGCCAAGGGTTCTTAGCTTTACCCTGTTCTAGCAGTACACCCGGTACTATGCTGTACAGTTGAGATACCTGTTAGTGATTAGCAATTAGCAATTAGTAATTAGTAATTAATAATTAGTATATAGTAATTAGTTGTCGGCGTCATAATAATAATCAATAATCATTCATCTAATCTAACGAGCTGCGAGGGGTGTCAATTGTCGAAGTACGATTTGTCATGCCCCCATTGGCCATTTGGTGCACTTACACTCAGTGTATTTTTTTACATCAAACGTTTCTACATTTTAAAGAATTCGATCATTGTCTCTTCAAAAAATTACGAAATAATTTCAACAAGCAGTTAAAAACATATTGCACAATCCTAACATGTTAAAGTTAATGTTAAAGTAACGCAAGAAACACACGAACCAGTTTGAAGAGAGCGTTATCAGGGAGATGCTTGAGAGCAAACTCTCGCTGACACGTGTAACGGGGGTCGGTCTTACGGAGCACTGCGTGTCCGTACCCTGGTACTACCTGAATGTTTTGTATTAATATTATAATAAGTTGGTTAAGGTATCCCTATTATGTGGCTAGGTATTCACGTCTCATTTAAAAAGGTTGTCTTACTTATGATTTTTGAAATGTTCAAGAGAAAATGTTTAATTTGGAAGAATTATTTAGTATAGCACCTACGACTGTTAAAATCGCGCGTCCGACCTTCAAAATCCCATTATAGATTAAAAACTTTTAAAATCCAGCCGAATATTAAAAGTTGTAACTGAGTAAGGCGATTATAATAATCGGATTATTGTTATCGAACGGACCTGTCCGCTAGCGAGAGTATTCCAGATGAAGTCCCTGAGTTCTGCATCAGAAACCTCTCCTCCGAGCTCCTCTTGTAGCTTAGTTAACCACACCAGAACTTCTTGGTTAGCCAGACCATGTAGTGGTCCTGCTAGTCCGTTCATGCCTGGGGTTAGTTCATTTGTTAAAATGTAAGTTATATACTATTATATTCAGCAAAATGAATCTATCGTTTTCGACGAGTTTATCTGAGAAAGTATGGAAATTTAAGAATCTACAAAATCAGATCTACTGGTATGATCTAGAAGGGGATCCAGAAAATATTACCGGCGGCGAAAGAGAGATAAGGGTCAGAGAGAGCGGAGCCCACTAAATGAGTAGTATGAGCTGACACGTTACCACCCTCGTGATCACTGAAAAAGGGTCATGTGACTTAATAATTTAGACATCGCAACTCATATTTTGGTTTATCTACGGTAGTTACCAGTTTAAGTTTTAAAATAGTTTTTTTAAAGTTTCAGGGTGATTGCTCAAAAAATTTAGGATAAGATAGATTTTTAGACACGATTTTCAGGGCAGGCGATTGAAAATCACTCGCGTGATACAATTACACATAAACGCTGACCTTTGACCGCCGATAATTTTGGCTAGGAACAATATTTTTCCATGGGACTAAAAACAGCTGGTAGATATCACTCCCCTCTATCAGAAACAACTATAAAGTAGATTTCGAGATAATTTTCATGAAGAACCCCCCGGCCCCTTAACTCCCCGGGGATCTGGATATGTCACCATCCGGCCCCCTTAAATAACAAAATAATTCCTTTACTGATTGCAAAAATACTGAATACACTACAAACCAGTGAATGATGAGATAAAGTTACAAGTTGCATAAATTATTATTCATAACTTAACGAAATTATAATAATAACGGAAAAATGCAAAAATTAATCTAAGAAATTTGGGACTATAAATTTAATGATTGCTAAAATACTGAATACAACACCAACCTGTAAATGGTGAGATAAAGTTACAAGTTGCATAAATTATTATTCATAACTTAACGAAATTATAATAATAACGGAAAAATGCAAAAATTAATCTTTAAAGAAATATGGGATTATAAATTTACTGATTGCTAAAATACTGAATACACCAAAAACCTGTGAATGGTGAGATAAAGTCGCATGAGTTCTATGAACTTGGGGTCAGTGAAGCCCATCATGTGGGCGTAGTTAGCGGAGTAGTCCAGAGAGGAATCAATTGGAGCTACCTGTTAGGAGGTAGAGAATTAGTGGTCAATTAATTATTAGTTAATTAGTGAGGTGGCGAGTTCTAATGAAGATCTCAAAGTTGAACTGTAACTGTCGTTGGTGAAGGCTTTCATTAGAAAGTGATACGAATGTTACAAGGATCGACCGGGACTAAGCCAGGACCGTACCGCAGAAATAAACGAAGATTGTTACCACTACCACCAGCTTGCAAATAACCCTTTACTCACTTGTCCGTCGTAAAAAGTATTCCTATAGATAGCAGCAGCAATGGGTGGCAACTTAGCTATCAGATCCATGGCATCCTCGTACGTGGTCTCCCAGTACTTAGTCTTGTGGACTCCCTCCGAGTAAGCTTTGGCGAACTTGCTCTCTGACTGGAGTGCGGTGACCGCAGCGCTGAGTTGAGACATGGGGTGGAGTGTGGAGGGGAAGTTCTTTATCATGTTAACTACATGCGGGGGGAGGTCCGCGCGAGCTGCCCATTCTGCTGATACTCCTTTTACCTGAGGAGGAGGGGGTGAAGTGGGAGTGGATTAAAGATTAGCACCATTTTAAACTTCAGAATCTAACGGCGTTTATATCTAAATAATCAAATAATTTGCTTGACAAAAGTAGCTGACAAAGATTAGAGTCGTTAATAAATTAGCAGGTCACACCTGTTCCTCGGTGGGTATCTCTCCAGTAACAAGTAACCAGAACAGTCCCTCTGGTAGAGGTTCCTCTCCCTCGGCAGCGTGGGGTAACTTCTCCTGGCACTCTGGGATTGTGTACCCTCTGAACCTGATACCCTCATCCGGGTCCAACACACTAGTCTCTGTTACCAGACCTGGAGGAGTAATTAGTAATTAGTAAATAGTAATTAGTAATTAGTAAATAGTAGACTATTTAACATGTATTAAAATTCATAATGATCAGGGTAGAATGAACCGTGGACAACCGTCAGCATTTCTTAAACCACTCACCTGCTGACCTAAATTTACTAAAATGAGAAGTACGGGCTATAACTAGTCGTACTTATTTGACGGTGTTATACGTACTTTTAAATTTTTATTGAACAGTACTGTCCAAAAAACCATGCGCGAGAAAAATTGCGAAGTAGGACTTCTGACGTAAACTTGTTACCCTAAAACTTGACCACTAGACATAACATAAACAATTAACATGACTATAACTTACTAGACATTCATTTGATCACTAGACATATGAATTATAAAACTTGATCTGCAGTGTTCGCTCAGCATTACTTTGCTATTCTTGCTAGATATTGTTCCTGAAGTGGCTCAAATTTTCTTGATGTCATTTCTCCCAGTGACATCTGGGAATCGTGCACTTATTCTTTTATGAGATAATATAACCATACAACATTCAAAAAAATTTAATTATTTGTGGTTCTGGTTGACCCTAATTATGTTTTGTAATTTTGCCCATAATACTAATAGATCAGAATACACTATTAACAGATATACGTGGATTGGGCTTTTGTCATTATCAATTATCTTACTATATATAAAGCGAGACGATAGTTTTCCGTGCCATTTTACTGACACCACGGCATCAACTTTAACGCGACTTTCCGCAAAAACCGTCAAAGATATACAACTGGGTCAAATGCTTTAGGGTTATATATTATATACACCGTTTAGGGTTAAATTATACGGGTTCCTGCTAGTGATATTAATCCTTAAGTCATTATTGCACAATATGTTCCAAGTCAAAAGTTTTTCAAAGTTTTTCTGGAAACCACTTTTCTCCACGTTTCATGCTACCCTGTTCATTATTAGCCGAAAATATTCTTTCGGTTTTCCGAAGTCCGCACCTCAAAACATTTTTGCTTTTTTAAGGATTCGAGTTAAAACGTGACGAAAAATATGCATTTCAAGATTTGAGAAATACATTATTTTGAAGAAATATCTGGCAAAAATCCGGCAAACTTTTGTGAAACCGGACCGGAACCGGATATTGAATCCGGATATCGAATCCGAATATCAGGTCGGATCCGGATTTAATATCCGGTCGATCCCTACAGTCACACGGTCTATCAACTTGAGCTTGAGATAATTATAAATTGTTTGTTGAGCAGCTTGTGGGAGAGCAGAACTGGAATTGTAACATGTGATAGAGTGGTGACGGAGTGAGGATTGTTTATTTTTTCATAGCCAATTTTTCAACGTCTTAGGAATCCTTAGTTTTAATACACGCTAAATAATACAATTTTCAAAGTTGTCTTTGTTGAAATTTATTTTTAATGAAAGCAGGTAAATAACATTCTGTTAACGAAACATTCTTGTAATGACCAGGCCTACATTCTGTTGAATATGCAAACGGACAACAAAACGCTATATGCTATCAGAGATGATGGGGAGCGGTCACTTCTTATATTGTGGAACTTTATAGTTATTCTGTCGTCGGTCATAGGGGACAGTATCATTTTGATAGCGACTATTAAATACAAAGCCATCAAACTCCATAAATTGGTATTAACAGTGATGCAACACATGACTGTTTGTGACTTAATGCAAACAGTATTCAGAGTGTTCCCTAGTACTATGGCAATAATATCAGATCGTTGGGTTTTTGGAGAGTTACTCTGTCATGTGCAAGAAAATGTTGGCTTGCGTTGTAGTGACAGTGCTTCTGACATGTGCTATGACCACTCTGAAACTGATAACAGTGAAGTATCCTCTGAGAACTAGGGCCTGGTCTACACGGTTAGGACATAACATCTGTTCTGTTTTGTGGCTCTTAATGCTTGGTTGGTACACTCCATTAATAGTCATGAACTTGCTTTACATCAGAGATACAATCCACTTTAGCTACATACACTATCATTGTGCTTATGATCTCGGCTCACCCACTGTACCAATCTGGTATACATGGTACTTTCTTATCAGTATTGCTGTGTTAAATATCCTCTCCTACACGACATTAATTGTTACATCAGTTCTCCTCCTGATCGTGGTTAGTAGAGCTGCCTCCCGACACGTAGAAACACTGAGATGGGAGGGGGTGACCACAGTACTGCTCACTGTCGGAGTGTTTCTTATATCTTTCGTGCCGTATAGTGTGTATTTAGTGACATTACCTTGGGGAGTTAAATACAGCACCACTTCCATTCGAGTAATGTATCATCTCACTTACCTGAATATAATGGCTAACTTCTTTGTGTACTCCCTTAAAGTGCGAAGTTTTAGACATTTCCTAAAAGTGAAGACTCCATCAAAGACAAATGTCCCTTCCACGGCAGAGATCATGACAAACAAGACAAAGACCCAATCCAATGCAAGATCTTCCAGAGGTGCAAGGTGATGGTAACCTAATTCCAGCTGCAGAGCTACAAGTATTGCAGTTACAAGAGGATGGGATACAACAAAACTTCTCAGATATTTTGGAAACGCCTGTTCAATGAGACAGCTTCGTAATATTTTATACATAAAAATGAAACTACATTACTTATTACATAAATTATGTATCATAGTAAATTAGTGTTCCATTTCTACCGTTTTTTTCGATGTGATCTTCGATTTTAGGATCTTTACAGTGTCTCTATCTTATAATTTATTACTGTTTTTTTTACTTTTAAAATTGAAAATGTTTCAATATTACCAATAGTTACAGAAAATTTTATTATTATTAATATTATTATTTTATCGTTCATAAGTTTTTGATAACGTTTTTGATTTTCATTGAAAATTAATTTGAAATCTTTCTAAGGTGACAAAATTTGTCTTTTATTTCGATTTCCGACATATTTGATATTCTAACATATTTCAGCATATCTAACACATTGAACATATTTCTCATGACATATACTAACATATTTCAGCATACTTAACACATTGTACATTTAAACCTCAGGACGTGATAACAGAGAAATGTGACTTAGAACAGATAGTCTTCGAGCTCTTATCGGTAAAGATGTGGTCGCTACAGCTGGGCGCGAGATAAACGCCCTCGTTCATTTCTGTGGTATGTTTCGTGAATTTTATAGTCTTTTTTGTAGTGTTGTTTATGTCCACAAAAACGCTTAGTATTTTCAATTAGAATATTTATAAACTCTATGTATCAGAAATGTTCATCAGAAACATCACAACAATGCGACTCATAAATAATGTTCCTATCCGGATATTACACATCAATATAATTATATTCAACTAACAGAGCAACTTAATTTCTATAGACACGTTGAGAATAGAGGTACCGGAGGATGGGACAGGTCAGCTGGAACTATTAGGAGTTAAACTCTTCAGTAAACTTAACTCCTTCCAAGCTAGAGAAGTTACTCAGTACGAAGTGGGTGATCCACATTGGAAGAGTGACATTTAGTTCCTTCAGACAGGTTCTTTGGGTGACGTCACCAAGTTTTTACCGCTGCATCAGCTCCAGTTACTTCAGAATGCTGCTGCAAAAGCTGTCACTGGTAAATATAAACATGACCATCTTGATGATGACCTGATAAAGCTTCACTGGTTAGATGTTAAGAAAAGGATTGTCTTCAAAATCTTGTTACTATCTCACAAGTCACTGTTAGGATTGGCACCAACTTATCTGCAGGACATGTTCAAGTTTGCTCATCATGGTCACTCATTGAAGCTTATTGTTCCTTCTTGTAATTCAAAGTTTGGTGAGCGTAGCTTCTCTGTAGTGGCTCCAAAGATCTACAATCGTCTGCCTGTTACCATCACCTCAGCTCAATCTTTGGAATCTTTTAAAGCTTTTATAAAAACTTACCTTTTCAAACTGTCTCCAGATGAACTTGAAAAACTTTATCGATAACTACTGTGGTCATATTTGGAATTCGATCTTTACATAACATAATATATTTAAGTACCATTTTCGGGCTTTAGTATTGACGATATATTTTCAAGCATATGTTATCTTTAAGCTCAGTATTCATGATATTTTCTGGGATGACTAGTTCAAACACTGCTGAGTATAAGTTTAATCTTAAAAGCGGTGTTATTAAATTTCAATTTATTATTATTATTATTTCCTGCATACCCTTAAAACTCTTTGAATCTTCGATGATGATTAGGGACTGTCAATAAATAAATCATGTTTTCAAAAATCAATCAATTACTGACCAATAAGAATCACATCAACCGAAACATTTTCCTTATCTTCTAATTTTCAGTGCCCATTATAATCTCTCTGCTGTTCCGAGGAATCAACGCTTTCCAAATCATCAAACAGCTCCTCTCCCGCTCCACCACGTGCACTACTCCCAGTATCAGATCACGTGACGTCACGCCTGCACGTGGCCCTCATGGCAATAGACTCGAAAATGTTTATATTCTGATCTTGATTAATGTTGGATATTCTATATTTTACGTTTTTATGTAGGTCAGTATTTGTTCAGTATTTTAACATTTTAGGGCAGATTTTTAGCGTACGATATTAAGTGCAGTATGGTAGTGTAGATGATTACTTTTAACACCACTGTTTTGGTTATCGGGAGTCTAGTTTGGGAATGTTTAGAGATTGCAAACAGTGAGTTTGGGATTGTTTCGACTATCTGGGGACACTTACGACTTTAGGATTAGGCCATGGAGACTGAGAGAGGGCAGTTTAGTTTATTGTTTTGGGGATTCTGAATATTGTAGGGAGATTTGAGGAGTATTGAGATTGTAATTGCAAATTCTATATCACGTACCCAAATTAAAGCATTTTCTCTTCTCCCCTTCCTCAACCAGATTCAAAGGAAAAGAGTATTTTATTGTATGTAATTGATAGTGGGAGTAAGAATGTGGGACTCGAACCCTGAACCTTGTGCGCAGAAGGAGGAAGCTCTACAGACGCTACAAAGGGAATTAGATAGGAGACTTTTTG